ACTTCAAAGATGCTTGGCACATGGGAGGAGCCAAGGAGATAATGGCAGGAGCAGAGCTGATAGTAAAAGTTTTCTTGTTTGCTCAGATGTCTGGAGCTGGCAGATGCAATAGGCTGAGTATTTTCATGTGAGCTGAACGCCTGCATAAGCATGGATAGGAAGAGGCCCCCAACAGCTTCCATTGTCTCCTCGTTCTGCCACTCTCAATCCTGCACCCACAACTACCACAGGACAGGGAGGGAAACATGAAAGAAAAAATGCATGTATTCTGCGGTTTCTCGTTGTTGCTCAGAGCAGTCACATGAGCTGCATAGTTCAAAGCATGCAAACTAAGTGAAATGGTATTCTTTGCAGTCCACTCAAAGAACGTGGATTATGGGGAGGTATTGGGTGGATTAAAAAGATAATACAGATGCAGACAGACAGACAGAGGCTTCTGCTAAATAAAAAGTCAATAAATAGGACAATGTAGGAAGAAGACTGATAGTACCTACCTCTTACTCTAATTGCAAGAACTGTTTCTGCAAGGTACCTTGTAAATATTCCAGGCCTGCTGGCATATTGTCCCATCTATTTTTAGCAGATTTTGAAACTTTAAAGGGTTGTAGTAGTTGAACATTAGAGGGTTTTCTTTTTATTTTAGTGATCCTATAAATCAGCATTTCCCAACCTGGTGGCCTTCAGAGGCATTGGAACCACAACTCCCAGAATTCAGTAGGGCCATTGACTGGGAATTCTGAATGTTGCAGTTCAAATGTGTCTGGAAGGAATAGGATTGGGGAAGGCTGCTATAAATGAATAACAAATTCTGAGAAGATCTCTCTGTGGCAAAAACAGCTCCATCCTCACACAAAGGTAGTTTGGAGGAACCCACAGTTTTCAGAAATACAAATAGTGTTAAGGAGGAGAGAGACCGTAAGGTAGCATAATAAATCAGTCCAATGAAACTTGGACTTCTCTACTTTTACACAGTATGTGGACCCTTAAGTTCTCTCTCTTTTTAATACATTTGTTTTGCATGAAAGCGTGTTTTCTTTCTTCTCCTTGGATGCATTTCTCCAAACACAAGACAGCCCAAAGTTTTATGGACTGTAACATTCCCAAATTTCAGAAAGATGAGGCAGGAGGTTCATAACTCTTCATAGGAGCATGCTATTTATTTCCTGGTTATCATAAAAACTAGAAAAATGATAAAACATTTTTAGCCAATGATGCACCACCAGCTTCCCTTTGTTTTTAATTTCAACATTTAATGCACATAATGACCCAGTTTACACATCATGACAGCAAACTGTGTGCTAGTTAACCCAATAATACATGGGGATGCCTAAATAACCCAGCAGCTAACCACTTGTAAACTACTTATCAGTTCAGGATTGCACATCATGTGTGCAATCTCCAATGCAGCTGATTGGAGTATGTTTATAGAAAGCAGAAGTGGTTCAAAAGCACCAGGCCTCCCAACAAATCATGAGTTGATCAGCCAAAGATTTTCTGCCATGGCACGCAAACTGGCCCACTGACTGCCTCCTGACTGAAATTTTGCATGAAATCTCAGCACCTTTAATAAATTCTAAAAGCAAACATGAGAAAACCTGACATAGTTCCTGTTGTACAGGAAGGTATTCCAACAATAATAATCCCTTATGACTTTTTACACAGGAAAAAGTCTCCACATTGCTGCATTTTCAAGCATAGTGTTTTATGAGTATTTTAATGATACAGTTCAACTTTCCACTTCATTTTTGTTCCACAACTGGAGTAATGTATTTGAATAGCTACAGGTGCCTGGTGCCAAATATCAGAATGTAACCACAAAACAAGAGGCAGACAATCAATGCTAGTGAAAAGTGACAACCAGAAGAAAAGGATGAATGTGGGCAGAAAGTTCAACTTTTAGTGGCAAGGACGGAAAAAAGAGAAGCAGGCAAGCTGTGTTTAGGCAGGCTGCTATTTAACACCATCATGGCAGCAAATGAAAATAATGTCAAGATGCATTTGTCAGACAGGGAGCATGTGGGTGGTTGCCAGGACATGTGTGGCTCAAACCCAAAGCTGTTCAGATGGTCTCTGTGGCAAGCTTTTCTCACAGCATTAGCCTAGTTCTGAGGTTGGGGGAGAAATAAGGGGCAATCAGCTTATATAGGCACACTGCTTTTCTGGCTCAGAATGGACCAGGGGAAAAAAGGTGCTGGTGTACCACCCAGAGAACATCAGAACAGACTTTACAAGAGGAGGACTTCAGTGTACACTTCAGGGTTCTTCAAATCCACCTGCCAACACACGGTGGGTTCACAGTGCCTGACATGAGAAACTTTCTCCCCGATAACATCTTAATTCTAAGTGTTCTGATTCAAGAGCAATCAAATCACTGACACCGAAGTGACTAAATTAAGTGGTGCAGCATCAATATTGTAATGCTTACAATTTTGTTTACTTATCCTGGAAAAAACAAACTAGTTATGGCAACAGTATGCAGAAGTAAATTTCATGGGATGTAAATGCCCTACTCCAGGGATAAGCTGTCTGCATATGAAAGCAGGAGTCTGTGCAAAATCCTCCTCTGCTTTAGGACCCATGCAGGCAAAGCAGTTTTCTTCCCAATACAGCTACCAAGCCTGCAAACATACTTTACAAAAAAGGAGATCTCGCCAATCAGGACATGGAATTTCAGGGTGCATGTGGGGTGAGGAATTTAATCCCTTTACTCCTCCTCCCTGACCAACAGGGTCTGGTAGGATTTTAATATTCCAGAAAAGGCCCATGCTGTGCTGGACTGGAGTCAAAGCATAGCAGTCCTTCACTTAAGTCTCAGAAGTGTAATGGGAATGCAATTCCAAAGCCAGACATTGAAAAATGATAAAAATGGAAAGAATCCTGGAATAAATCAGAACCTCTCTCTTTCACAGTGCTTCTCACCTCTGCCTTACTCTCTGTATAAATTAGGGACCCCCAATGCAGCACCTGTAGGCACCAGGGTTCTCCCAAAGCTCTTCAGTCCATGCCCCTTCAAAAAATAGATCAATTAAAAAATGGAAAATGTTAGAACTCCAAGTTCACCTGCCTGTTCTAGAAGCTGCCACTGATCAGCTGTTCAGCAGGCAGGGAAAGAAAGTAAGGCAAAGGGGTAGAGGGGAAAGAAAAAGCACAGCAAGAGACTAGGATGGGGAGAAATAGCAAGATAAAGGCGCATGTAGGAAAGAAAGGGCAAGACTAGGGTCTAGGATGGGAGTGAAAGAAGGCTAGGTACAGGGAAGGCAAATAAATAGCAAGAGGAGTTGGGCAGAGAAGAACAGCAAGACTGGGCTCTGGGAATAGAGAGAGAGGGAGGGAGGGAAAGAAAACGCAAAGGGGAAAGGTATGTGTGGAGGAAAAAAAGAATGGGCAGGCTAGGAAGCAACTCTTTCTATTTCTCCCATCCTCCTAGCCTCAAGCCATACTATATCTCTCCACCACCACCTCTTGACCAGCCAGGCCCCCATGGCAGCCCTTATGGAACTAGTCAGATCCACCACGACAGCCACTTTGTGCCGGTACCCACAGCAGTTTCTCAAAGTCCCTAACATGGCAATGAGTCTAAAAAGGATGGCGATCCCTGGTATCAGTGGAATCACGGAGAAAATGTATGCATACCTGCACAGGGGAGGCACAATGTATTTTCACTCCCTCGTGTGCCTCTACAGCAAGTGGGTCACTCTCACTAAGCTAGCAACACACCAGGATCATTTTTATTGAACCAAGAGCAAAGTGCAACACACCTCATGGTTAACATAATGAAATTATTATCTCTTCTTTGCAATCCTAATGTTGCTACCAACACTCACTCGATGATCCATTGGGCAGAATTCACCTCCAGCTCACAGGGTAACAAAAAGGACAACAGGAGCCTGTCACTCTATATTGCTGCGAAGGAAAATGCAAGAAGCTGGCTGGCTTTCTACCACCGACATTGGGATATTTCCTCATATATGCTTTAGTATGTAGTGAAACTGGATACATACTCACAAAAAGCCTGCCTGCTACTTCTGTTGATGTAAGCAGTATCTCAGAGAATCCTTAAGCTCGTTTTTGTGTACAGCTTGCTCCTTCTCACCTCAGTTGTGCCTTGCCTAGAACTGACCAAACTATGTTTAGCCAATTCTAGTTAAGCCAGTCCTTCACACACTCATCACTTCTGCATCTTAGTTTCTTATTTCGTATAATTTCTTATTTCTTCATGCATTTGCCCTACTGTTTTACAATCACACCTACAATTCCCTATGGCCAGAGGTCTTCAGCGCTAGGCAGATTGCAAACTCCTGAAATGCTTTTACTTATGAATTTTTCTAGCAGCTAGGATGTGCTAAGCTTCTGCAGCTTGCTTATCCCAAATGGGTATTGCTTATCCCAAATGGGCATTACCACCGTAGCTCCCAATGGTAACCCTGCAGGAACTTATTGTGTGCCCTAAGCCTGGCTTGCAGAAATTTAGTATACACATCCAAAGCAAAATGCAACCATGCTAATATAAATATTTTTAAGGCACAGAGTTTATACTGTTAGACAAAAGCCATACTATTCCAAAAGATTCCTAAGTGATGACTGCAACTGAAAAGGAAGTAATTTTTTTTAAAAGTGTATCTCTCCTCCATCTTCAGTAATTAAAAGCTCTGAATTACAAAACAACAGACATATGGAAAATAACATAGTTTGTCTGTTACTGTTTGCCTTAATCCTTGGACTAAACAAGGATATCATACAAATGCGTCTCTCCCTCCTCCCAGCCAATTTTTAAACAGTTTTACAATTATAACCTCAAATAATAAATATGGAAACTTAGAGTTTAGCATTGTTAGAATGAATGACTAATGTTGAATGAATTTTTTGCATTAAATGCATGGCTTATTAAAAGATTAGCCAATATTAAAAATCCCTATTTCCAAAAAACGCACATACACACAGTGAATCAAATCATTGCTCAATGTACCATAACCGCAACATAAACCATCCTTTGTACTTACGAAGAAAGTGTTTTTCCAGCAAGGCAATTTCCAGATGGCCTTTGATCTCATTCAGTCTATCAGACTCTGTTCTATTATAATCCTGGACTCCTGAAGCCATGTTGATGGTCCCAGGACCAGCCTACAGAAGAGAAAAGAAATACTGACAAGCTCAGAAATCAGCCTCTATCAAAGGGGTAAAATGTACACACCAGAAGAAAAGCCAGAAACAGTAGGTAAGACTTGAGTGTGTGCTATGTGGAGGAGTTTTTGTCTTTTGTTTTGTTAAGACCAGCACAGACCAGACCAACAAACCTTTTATTCAGCATTAGCCCGCTGAAACGAATCAGTAAGAGCTAATGAAAAGAACTGTATCTCTATCAGGCGTCTCAAAGCACTGCGCCTGCTCAGACTTCTAGGAGCCGTAAGGAGAAAGGATGTGGAGTTCTGCAGCAAAAATCATCATCATCATCATCATCATCTAAATTCCTGCTTATTAGTTGGACGCACCCCTCAAATAAGGGGTATTCTGATTCAGAAAAGGCCAACTCTTTCAAGCTAAGTATTAAAGCAACAATTAGAAATGGAGATTTGCCGAACACTGGCCAATCCTGCATAAAACCTTTCTCATGCATATATGAATACATTTTGTACCCAAGCATAACAAAGAAGAAATGGAGATTGCAGTCCTCATGCATGGCAGACAATGAACCGGCAACAAGCAATCATGCCTGTGTTCAGAGCAGGTGAGAAAAAAATCATGAAGTTTAGAAATCTTAAACCTAGCACCTTTTAGATGTTGCCAGTTTCCTTCCATGTAAAATAAATGCATAGACAGAACAGTGGAAATAATCTAGTGGTGCCAAGAAGAGCATAGAGATAACACTAATTCCTACATAAATTAAATTATAAGGATTCTTAGGCAAATAAAAAATAGACTTACCAAGGAAAAAGAGGAGTTTCTAAGCAAGTGAGGGGCTACATAAACTGTGACCAAGAAAAATATATATTACATGCAAGAGGTATGTGTGGTAATAATTTTTACAAAATGGAATATTAAACTGAACAAAATGGATATACTCATAGAGATACACACACACATGCGTGTGCACACACAAACCTATGAATGCAGTCACAGCTACTGAAGGGCTGGTTCATGTGTCACGGCTGTTTAACCACATTTTGGGGTAACTGGAAACTCCCTCACATTCCCTGCTGTAATTTACACATGAGTAGTCCTGCTGACTCGTTCTTCCAGGACATTGATACAAAGTGCCTAGACTAAAATATCATCACATTTCAGCTTCCTACCATTTACTTAAAAACAACAACAACAACAAAGAATATCTGGGGCAAAAACAACCCCAGAATCTCCATAGGAATGGCCATACTGGGTACTTTTATACCCCCAAAATGGGCCCCAAACAAAGGAACAAAAGAAGGTACCATACAGATTATCCAGCCTGTTTTTAAAGCTAAGATTCTTAGCTAGAATCAGGTGACTCACATGATCTGCTTGTCCCCATAACTGCTGCTGCACTGTACAAAGTCACTATGTACAGGCTGTGGACAGCCACCGGATGCAGATTCTGATTTTGCAACTAGATTTATAGGGTAGAAATTGAAGTTTGCACTAAATAATTCAAAGTATATTTCAGAATTTGATAAACTGCAAGAATGAACTACAGGCGGACTTCCAGATATTTTGGACCTTAACTAATGTGGTTGGAAATATCAGGAGCTGAAATCAAAAGCATCATCCAGACTTCTACTATCTGCCTTCCCCGTATTCAAATTCAGTCAACATATTACACTTCTTGGAAATAATTATAGCACCCCTGATTATTATATTTCGTCTCTCAGGACGAACAGGGAATTCTGGCTTTTTCTTCCAGAGGTGCGCCAAGGTCTGTGCCATAGTTCTGTTGGGCAAAAATCATTCCTGAACCTCTGGAAGCAGCCCACCCTTGACTTAAAGCATAATTCTCCAGGTTTTGGTCAGGCACACAAACTCACAGATGTATGTTTCAGTAAACTGTAATCACAGTTATGGTCATTACTTGCATTACAGTGGGCACCCTCCAACACTTCAAGGCCTGCACGGGTATCTTTTGTCAGAATGTTTCTTTTTTATTACATGTATGGAGTGCTCAGGTTCATTTAAATCCTGGCCAGAAGGATGATCTAGATGTGATTACAGACACAGAGCTGCTACTGCCTCAATGTATCTTCTCTTTCACACCCGTGTGGTGCCTGAGCTACACAAATCACGCATGATGTGATAGCATGTTGGTCACCACTCTGCCTCACAAATCAACAGGATAAAGAGCAAGAGAAGAACAATATACCATATCAAGCTTCCCCAATCTGGTGCTGTCCAGTTATCCAGTCTGATACCTCCAGCGGGTACCTGGTTGGAGAAGACAGCCCTATACAATGCCACCATATTTGGTGCTGCTTCTTTGGGTTACAAAGGAGTGAAAACAGAGATAACTTTATGTCAGTTATGATACAGACTGGCTTTAAATCTGCCTACCTCCATTGACAGCAATCCTATCTGCATCAGCAGGCTACTAGCTACAGCTCACTCCTGAGCTGATACACAGAACAGCACCATTAGTATTAACTGCACCCATAACCTGGCAAGTTATTTGCTAGTATACGGATTTTCAATATGGAAGTCATTTCCTACTAACAATGGCAAAAATTATTGCATCCACAGTTGGCATAAAATGTGCATTTTGCAACAACTCAACCAACTTTATGAGTGTACTATATCTTCCTTTCCAACAATCCCTTACTAACCGGTGCCAACTTCCAAATTGGCAGGACACATGCTTGCATGGTTGCCAAGCATCCACACCCCACACTGAAATTTACTAGTCTGGCTCAAATAAAATGGCCGGGACATTTACAACTAATGCCACCCCTTAATTTAAAGATGAAAATAGAGGCAGGTGAGTGGGCGAGCAAGAGCAGTACCCTTTCCCACCCCAAGTTGTTCATCTAGTGTGTGACCTCTCTCCTGAGGCAGTACACCCAACATCCTTTGTCTGTCCCATATACTCCACCTGGTGTTGCTACAGCAGCTTCTCTCTGCCCCATCTTGCAGTTGCGGTGCCTGTTGGCATAGTTTAAAAAACATTTTCCCTGAAAAACGTTTCAGAAGCATCCAATATCTTCATCAGACTTCCCCATGCATTTTTCCCTTATCAGTTACATTTACACACTTCACTGAAAGGCAGGGAAGCATTATTACTGAAGTTCAAAAGTCTTACTTGCAATGTGCTTTCATTTGCACACAATGAAGCTGCATCCACAACCATCTTACAAGACTCCAGCCCTAGAAAGTCTTCCATTTATCAAGAAATGTGTCTGTCAATGAACTGAATGACCTGGACACAGTCTTGAGCCTTCACCCACCAAAGCAATCACTTATCAACTATCAGAGTGGCTAATATTGTAACAAGCATGGTCATCATGCTTCATTTTCTTCTTCACCTTGAGGTACCTGACAGATGATCAGACTCATGGTGGTAACTCTCCTCCCTCCCACCATCTCCTCCCTTCTCAGTCCTCCAGGTGGTACCCCAGGAGACACCACAGAGAGGCATGAGGCCTCTTTGATCATGAGCTGAGTTGGGCTTGCTGCAGCTATCCAGCAGCCTCTGTTGCCCTAAAGTGTAACAGAGGGGACAAGGGAGCTAATCAGGCACCCTCACCTCCTGCTCCAGAGAAGACTGCTTGACCCACACTCAAGCAATAGGGGGAAAGTCAGCTGGGCGGTCCTTTCCACAGCACCACCCAGCTGATCACCACTCCTGCCCTAAAGAAGACCTTTAGGGCAGAAGGCAGGCAGAGCAGGGATGCCTTGATCAGCCATGCAGAACAGCAGCTGTCAGTGAGGCTCTCTGGCTGACCAGCTGGTAGCCAGATGTGCAGCTGGCCACACATCTCTCTTCTTGTATGTAATATTTATTTTCCTTGGTTACATTTTATGTAGCCCCTCACTTGCTTGGTAGTCTGTTTTTTATTTGCATAAATCCCAGTGAACTCAATAAAACAGCTCTTGCCAATTGGCTTTCTGGTGCTGGCTTTGGTATCACAATGGGTTGTGTTTTCTGCACTCAGACAATAGCTTCCTGCACTCAGCTGGTTGTGCCATGTGAACTCCCCCAAAAGGAAGTGGTAACATCCACTGCAGCTCTTTGCATATTAAACAGTAAATCAACCCCCCACCCCAGCATTCCTGTTTATATTTATTTTTACTTTCTACAGGAGTAGCTCAACACAGAGAAATTATATCCTACAGTAGAGGATAATACAGTTTTAAAAAAAGTAGTTGTTCATGGCCAATAACAACAATGCCTCAAAAATGGGTAAGGTAAGAGTAGGCAGACAGGCTAACAGACCTGACAAGGAGGAGATCACACGTTCCCCTCCTGTGCCACATTTGTTTCATGCTGCAACTAACTGCACATTTCAAGAACAGCCAGGAAACTGGAATCAGAAGGGCTCTGCCACGTGAATCTGTGTTAAGTGGTGAAGGGTCAGTGCCTTCCGATCTAGTCTTTTTATTCTTTTTATTTATTTTCTCCCTCTTCCACCCAATAACTGGACTGTTTTGGGAAGTTAACAATGATCCAGTCTCATGAAAATGGACAGCTGGCCCAGAGTCTGTCTTGTACTGACTGCTATAAGAGGCTATGCCAGAAGGAGTGATGTGTCAGCTTCCTTGCTGAATGTATCAGGTCTTTCTTTCTATCCTTGTACCATATAGCAAAGCACCCACACTCTTCCATTTTATTCATAAAAGAGCCTTGTAATGTTGGTAGGCTCTGCTTTGTGGTTGCCCTTTTGCAAGAGATGCTGATGTATTCATATTGTATTAAGATAAAGCAGCAGAGAGCTCTTAACACATGAAGAAGAAGTGGTTTTGAATTATATATGAAGTCAATGATTCCATATAGCAACCAAGGAACAAATACAAACAATGCAATTCTGCATGTGTCTACTTATAAATTAGTCCCACTAAATGCAGTGAGAATGACTCTCAGGTAAGTGGCTATAGAATTACAGCCGAAAGTCACATATCCCACTTTTCTGGGGCTAAACCCTATTGAACTCAATAGAACCTGCTCCTGGGTAAACATGCACAGGGTTGCACTGTAAGCTTTTTCCAACTATACTGATATGTGGACAAATATAGACTATCCTTAACAAACTGACTGGTTATAATGACATATTGCTCACATCAATGCCTTGTTTAATGCTGGAAATTGCCAGAAGTTCCTCACATGACTTAAATACAGAAAAAAACAAAAACAAAAAATTGTGAATGCCTCCTACAATCAGAATCAGAAAACCAACACTGAAACTTAAATTCCAATACTTTGTTAATCATAATGTTAACGTTAAAGTGGGAACATGAGTGCAGTTTTCTAATGCTCAGTGTGCCAGCTATCAGGCAAAAATCAATGTATTATATCAGCTATTCGTATTTTGCCCTTTGGTTAAGAAGTGCTGAGGAAGCTGACAATTTTTCTACAATGGGAAAATATGTAAAACCCATGAGATTAAAAACCACAAAAGCAGTAAAATCCATCAGAATCAACAAAGCCATTAATTAAAACCCACTTCACTGATATGCTTGAAAGCTTGAGCAGCTAAGAATGCCTACAATGAGAACATCTCCCTGTAGAGGTCATTCCACATATTGGGTGCATTTAACTGAGAAATCCAACTAGGCCCCACAGTGGAGGTAGGTGGGCCTTTGCTCACCCGCTGTGTAATCACACTGGTGGAAGCTGTATGCATTGCTAGGTAAAATGTGGGATCATCTACGCTGCAGCAGCAACCATGCCATAGGAGGAAACAAATGGTGCATCAAGCAGGTTCTTAAAAGTATGGGAAAAGTTAACAGAGGACAGTTCTATTGGCAGCAACTACCTATGACAGGTAAGTGAGCTTCTGGGTTCAGAGCTGATATCCTGCTAATAGCAAACTCATTCTCCAAGAGCAGAGACGTGTGTAGCCAAAACAACATGATCCACATACAAGGTGGAATATTAACAAGTCTGGGAAACTACAAAAGTTTGAAGGAGAACAAAAACAACCCTAAGTGGGGGACAAGCACAGTTGGGAGGGAAAAATGCAAAAATGGGGAGGAAAGGGAATGGAATAGTATTCCCTTGAAGTGGACGTAGCTGGCTGACCAGCTGGAACTTTGGACAGGGGCACTCCACACTGCACCAATTTGTTGCAGATCCTGCCAGTACCTCAAGTTCCAAGTTACCACAGATGAAAAACAGGGGATAGTAATATCATCATGTCCTCCTTTACGATAATTCTGAGGTATTTTGCTGACCCCATCAAAAATACTCAACTGGAGGGTCCTCAGTTTGATATAGCAAAGAAAACTCTGATATTTTCAAGTATACTCTATTTGGAGATAAGCAAAACAATATGGAGCCCATAGCTTAATTCAAAATAAAATAAGAAGCTTATTAAAAAGGAACATTGTTACATCTATGCTAACTTACAACCTCACATTATTTAAACTCAACAGGTGGTCAGGAAAGCTTGTACAAAGTCTTGTAGAGCTTACAGTTTGAACATTTATCCAAAATCTCTGAAGTTAGGTCCCATTAAAAGAAAACCCTAAGGGTACAGATTTATTGCCCCAAGTGCACCTAGAAACCAGATGAAACATGAAGTATGAATCCATGGTCAGGAAGAATAAATGATCAGGAAGAAAAAAAATAAGGTTTCCAAATCTATGTTTTAAAAGGTCTGACACTCGGCTACATGAAAAGTCTGCTGTGCTTTGCATTGGGAGGGGAGCCGAAATGGTTTTGACAAGGCTGTCCTGGCCAGTATTCTAATTCACACATCACAAGGTCATGCTGTGGAGTCAATATAAGAGCTCAACTATCCACTTACTTTTTGTGGCATGACACAGAGAGAGTTATTTTTAACTCCAGAGGCTGGAAAAGGCCAGTCCTCAACATTTTAGAACAGGGCCCCAACCACAAGAGACACTTGTGATTTGCTCACTGCATTTCAATTATTTAACTTCACTGCATTAGTGTGCCTGATGCTGGCTCCAGGTTTTTGAGGGTCTTAGAGCAAGATACTCCCAATGGGCCTGTCCATCAGTGAGCCTACCTTCCCACCAGCATTATTACCAGTTGCTCCCTCCTTTCTTTCTCATAATAGCTACGACTTGCTTACTTGGCAGGCCACTGAACACATAAGCAGTGGCATGTCTACCCCTCCTCTCAATATTTTTGCAGAGAAGAATGTTGGCATGGAAAAAAGAGGAGCAAGTCCAGAGAACTCTTGGACCCTCAGCAGACGCCCATCTTTGACACTGGTCCTGAGTGTATTTCTGTCAGCTTCAGCTCACTAGTCCTATGTTCAACATGTCTGTAAGTCTGCCTTCACACACACATTCTCCGATCTGTTGCCATTTCTTACTCAATAGGCCATCTCTTCCCTCTTGTTAGCGCTAGTATAAATAATTTGCATTGGTCTGAGTGGCTTCAGAGCTGGAGGACCTGTTCTGCAACATGTTCCCCATCTTCTCCTTTGACCTCAAGAGGAACAAAATCCATAGATTGTCTTCTGCTTCCTCTTTCTCTACAACTAGGGCAGCTTCTTTTTGTCTGGCTATTTTTCAGTGTGTACCTACAGAGCTTCACAGCTGTGATCAACCGCACAGTCTTTACATTGAAACATGTCTTCATGAGTTGTGCTCATATTTAATGGACTTTAAAAAAAGGAATCTCAAATGGTGTGACTTCCCCCTTCTCTCACAGGGGAGAATTATACTGTGCAGAATTATACTGTGGCTTGCAGCATGTGTTACAATATAAACACAGACAACAAAGCCCATGTGACCTTTCAAATATCTCCTACTCCTTGCAAAACTGATTGCTGTAACTTGACTGTGTTATGAACAGACTGAATATTGCATTGTTTTTATTAACATATGCCCCCAGTGCTGCTGGAAAACATCCTTGCAGAGTAGTGCCTTAGAAAGGAAAAGGGCTCCCGTGAAGATGCTAGCCTGATCTCCAGAGTTTTATATTTTTATCTAAAAGATATCTTAGAGCATTAAAAATCTGACTGGAACAGGTGTGTGTGTGAGAGAGAGAGAGACAGAGAGCGCGCAACCTTTCTCTATTTCACAGCACTCCCACAGTGACTGACGACACAACAGGAAACATACAGAAGTTGTATAGAGAGGAAGTCAGTTATATCAGAAACATGCCATGCGGAGGAGGAGTCAATCTACCCCCTCCCAGCTAGTGTTTCTGCTCTGATCTAATTCAAAGACCCTTGGAGTTGTCCTTTGATAAAAATGAAAGTACTGTGCTACACTATGCAATCAGGGATTTCCCATTTCCCATCTGTTTTGGTCCTTGATGGAAAGAGGAACGCACTCTATTGCCAAACAGAGGCATTTTAATCTATTCTTATTTGACAGACTTCAGGATGAAGCCCTGGCACAAATTAAGCCCTTTCATGTTTGATATCAGGCTGTTCCAAAGTTACAAAATATGGTTATCAGAGCTGGGTCCCTGGAGAGCTATGTCTGAATAGACAGTACTGAGCTAGTACAGTAACAGTGTGACAGTAAAGGCAGCTGTTCTTTTTCTCCCCCTTTCTTAATAGTTCAGTCCAAAAGTTTATTAAGCACCTCTAGCACAATCCACCTTAAATAAGGTCATGACACAGCTGTGGTTGACAAGCCAGCAATGGAAGGGCAATATATCAGAGAATATGCTCTGGAAAACAACAGTGCAGTTCACTGCATTTTATTCCTCTTCTGCCATTCTGCTTTCACTGCCAAATATTGCTTGAACTAAATTCTGCCACCCACCAGATTTAGAATGTTGCTTTAGGTCTGAAAATATACCTAATAGACTATTAGTGTACAAGAGGTTGCTCATGAACACCCACTTCCCCATTCTCAGGGGTTAGGTATCAACTGACATTGCATCATATTTACCTCTGTTTCCCATAATAGTCTGATGCAGACAGCACCATTAACCATGGTTAGCTCTCCCTGATTCTGTTTAACTGTAAACTGTAGCCATGGTATAGCTTACAGAGTGAAGGGCCACTCATGTAGGCTACATAAAGGAAGAGATAAATGAGACCTACTTGTCAGTTCACAACCAGAGAGGCTGGTGAAGGAGAAAAACTGCCTAGACTGTGCTTTGCCTAGTACAGCTGCCTGGTCCCTTCTATTTTTTCTTTGAGATGCCCCCTGAAGACATATTTGTTCAGTCTGCATTTGGTTTGAGTGAGGTTCAACTATTCTTCTTGGTTTCATTTCATTTCATTGTATTCTGTGATTGGCCATATTGTATTATGCTGCTTTTCTATATATCAAATTTTAGAAAATTTTAATATGGTGATGCATGTCATTATATTAGTTGTCTTTTGTATGCTGCTAGCCATTTTCAGAGAACTTTCTAGTTCTGATGTGTAGCATATAAATCCTTAAAATGCATAACCAAATAACAGTATCCATAGTTAATATTAAGTCCTTCAAAAATGTCACAATCTGGTTTGTGACTAACTCTTAACTAGAATTTAGACCAGCCTTCTCCTACCTGGTGCCATCCAAATAATGGCCATTAGTGCTGCTACCTAGAGAATGGCCCAGGTGTACTTACTTCCCTCACACCAGGAGGCAAACAAAACAACAGACAAAATAAGCCAGAACTATCTGAGGAAAGAAACTGTCTGGCATGAGCCAGAATTGGCACCTTTTCTGTCACAGTTCCTCTACCTCCACCACAGCTGGCTTGCTCTGCCCGACACTTTTGGAAGGCAAAAACAACAACTTTACATCTCATCCACTGATATACTTACAGGATCTCTCAGTTCCTCATTGTCTTTGCCTGACGTACGAGGTATTTTCATAGGGATTTCATCTCCACATTCGGTGTCTGAAGCATTGGGAGACTCCGCTAAATCAAGGAACTCATCTCTCTTGTGACCTCTGAACCTTATTTTGTCTAACCTCTTTAGCATGTTCAGCACTGCGCTTTTCTGCTTTATCTTAACATGACGGTTGAAGTCCCTGAAAAACACAAATAGGAGCAGAAAAAACAACAGGAACGTCATTTTCAGGACTTACATGGTGCAGCAAACATTCTAATTATACAAAGTGCTGTCATAATCACTTACTGCAAAAAGAGTAATCCTGTTTCAGAAAGAAAAAAATACCAAAGCTTTAACGTTAAAATCCTTTTATTTTGCAAAGTACCTAACCATAGAGGACAGGAATTTGTTGACCATGGAAACAGCAGGTTGGATCCAGCCTTAGTCAGTGTAGACCAGGAGTACAGAACCTTTTTCAGCCTAAAGGCCAAATTTCTTTTTTACACAAGCTCTTTGGGGCCCCTTTCTGGAGGTGGGTGGGGCCAAAGGACAGGATTAAAAAACTGAAGTTACAAGCAAACTTCACCTTAAAGCTTTTGCTGCCAGTAACAGAGGCCCTCTTAAATAGGGAGAAACCGCATAAAAGCCAGAAGATCAGAGAACTAGTAGTTGGGAAAAGGGGGAGGAGCCAGGGAAAGGTGCAAGATCTTCTGAAGAACTGCTAGAAAGATGGATTGGTACTTCTGAAAGGAAAGATATGGGATTAAGGGTGTGCACCCATCAAAATCAATGCAACAAGTTGCTCATAACTAATAAAATGATAGCTGAATGAATGCTACAATGTTTGTATTTTTTTGCCCATTGAGATGTATATTCTCACCTATACAAAATGCCAGGGTGGGGGGAACCACAGAATATCAAACATGGTGTTATGCAGAGTGACTGTGACTAAGTATATGAGCCATGAGATCCAGGGTTCAAATTAAGAATATGCTGGGCCGATTAGATTCAATGACATTAGCTAGCAGCGGGGGGGGGGGGGGAGAGGCAGAAAAAGGTTTTTCTAGCTAGTAGCTATTCCAACTGCCTCGTTCAAAATTCTTCAGACAGGTCAAGCAAACCAAAAGGGATAATTGTACATTTACAGCTCTCTGTTCTTAAGGCTAATACTTGCTGTATGTATTTTCCTTTCCTTTTCATATTCCCACATTCACATATACACTCCCCTATAGAACCTCATTCAATATATGACTGTGGTCCCATATACTGAAAGATATTTCAACTTCTGAGCAGTTGGAATGCTCTTTAGTATTCCATAACACTTCAGCAGGTGAAGGAAAGGCCTGTATAAGGGAAGCTGTGCCTTGGAGGGGCAGGATGCGCATTTTTCCAAACTCTGTGCAAAGGGAGATTTTGCACCTTCTTACACACTTCAGCTAACATGAAGGTCTGATATTGCCCCAGTAGGTTTTCTCAAATAATCTATTTTTTTCATAAATAAGTAAAATGGCAGCCATTCCCTTACCTATGACACTGTAATCTAGGGAACACAGGGACACCATTAACACAGGAACTAAACATACTGTCTGAAGCACAGTGCTGATTTAACCTTCCCAACTTAACTGGTCCTATAGAGAAACAAAGCAAGCCCTCTCACTATAGCTCCAAAACCTGATTCTGTTTCTTGGGAGGAGCTGTACATGACAAAGAGACCAAATACAGGAAAAAAGTTCTGGCTACTCTTCCTAATGTCTTGCTCTTAGTCTTGCTGTGGGTATACACAACAAATCCATGCTTTTTACCGAGCAACTCTTGTTCACAGAAACATGTGCCAAAATAAACCTGTACATCTAAAAACTAAAAAAGCAAAATAAAAAATCTGCAAGCCTCTTTGCTGGTTTTACTAAAACAAACTAACATGTCTATGCCTCTGGACTAATTGCATGACTCTCTAAACAAAACCTATGTTTGGGAAACAAGGATTAGATCTACTTGATTTAAGAGTTTAAAGGAAAGCTGAAGTAACTTGTGGATTCTCTTCTGCAATACTTAAATAACAACCACCACCACCACCACCACCATCATCAGATCCTAACTTCTTCCAAGCTAAACAAAACAACCAACCACTTTTCATTTCAATTCTAAGCAATGAAGTTCTAAGGGCTCAACTCTATTCAAACAGAATAAAGGGTTAACCTGGGAACTACAGACTTTTTCCCTATCAAAATAAGCACCAGATTATACCTTAAGAAGTGTTTAGAGAGAGATCCAAGGGCAAATATATTCAGAAGTTAACTTAATGCAATGCAATTCACTCCCTACTAACTGGGCTTAGAACTGAAGCCTATCAATGCTATTGTATACATATCTACCCAGAAGTAAGCCCCACTCATGTCTTACACCCAGGTAAGAGTGTGTAGGATCACTGTCTGAGCAAGCTTGTAAAGATCTGACAAGGTATCTATATCTTTAAAAGGTTGGTTCCTTCAACAGATTTGAGTTGTATTGTTTTTAAATTTCAAATGCAATATATAAATGGTCAGATACAGTGTAGAAATTAAAAAAATAATGGTAAGCTGCACATGTCAAGCTAAATAACTGCTGAAATGAAAACACTTATTTACTGTGTCCATTTTGATCTATCTAAAAAGCTGTATGAAAGCGGGGGGGGGGGGTGATATTTAATGGCAAATCCCTAAATTATTCCCTAACTCAAAGAAAATGATACAGCACAGATGCATGACAGCAGGGGAGGGGGGAAGTTGGAATTCTTTTGTTGATGGACTTTTTTCTGTGTATCAGTATCAACAGGAGCTGCACAATATTGCAGACAGAGATATGTGTGTGTTCTGAGACACACGCAAACAAAAAATGGCTGTGGCTAATACTGAATTTGGGCACTTTTGGAGAGATGCCAGGAATTAAGCCAAACTGAAAATCATTGTATTTGACTTGAGTATCCTTCTTTCGGTGAGTAACTGCTTGACAATTGGGGGAAAGCATTCCCCCTACCTCTGAATAAACACAGGGAATCCAGTAGCCCAAAGGAGAAATTGGTGGACAAGCCCCACTTGGTACCAATTTGGAGGGAAGCCCCTCATCTCAAATCAGGCTGACAGTACTGGAAGCTCAAAAAGCACCAGAATGCTTAGAAAAGGTTACAAGGCTGAGAAAAGAATGAAGCAGGGAATAAGGTGAGGAAAACTGCAAGTCCTACAAGACAGCAATACCCAGGAAGGGAAAAGAAACCGGATTTTTACCCACTTTAGCAGTCCAGGTGCCAGATACTAGGCCCACAGTTTTCTGGGCACCTAGATCTTTGTCTCTCCAGGATCACAGCTCTGTCAGAGGGAGATCAAGGGCTTGCGGGGGGGGGGGGGGGAATCCATCAATAGTTCTTTATACTAAGCCAGTTTCCCCAAACTGACACCATCCTGATATTTGGACTACTCCTGACAATTGACTATGTGGATTGGGGCTGATGGCCAAAGCACTTGGAGGGCACCTGATTATGAAAGGCTGCAAGTCAGGGTTAGGTAACATATGGCTATCTTGACAGCACACCTCTGCACAATCTACTGGGTGTCTGTCCAAGTGCAATACCCCTCCCACTTAAACACACAAAGACACTTACTTTACTGGCACCTGGGACAGTTGTGCAGTGGGCTTCTGTTCATGCTAAAAATGGTGGGTTCAAATGAGTTGTTGATGCTCAGACCCCCAAATCTGCTTTTCTTACTTTGTCCAGCAGGAGCCATTTTGCGATGATGCCCAAGACAGTTTTTCAAATTGCTCAATGGGCCCACGGCCCTAAAAGGTTTTCCACCCCCAATGTAAGCATAGTTCAATAAAATATTTTCCTGGGTTAACTAATGCAACAGGCATGTATCATACAGAGTCGAGATAAAACATACAGTGATAAATGCTAAAGAAACGGCACTACCTAACTGTGACCTAATTCTGCTTTCCAGTTGTATTCATCCATTCTTGAAGGGTTATTTTAAGGATTACACAAAAGCCAGAAGTGAACATATCATATGGGAAATGAATCAACAGATGGAAAAGTCCATCCTACCTGATCATGGCACAGCTTGCTAATTTTCAAGAAGAGTTTATTAGGTCAAGTTTTAAATTTCCCTTTCTGCAGTTGGAAGCCTCACCAGGAGTATAACACTCCTACTGCAAAGGAACTCTGGGCTGCACCTGCACATTCCAATTAGTTAAACAAAAGGTCTGAAGGTCACAAACCTGCTTATAAGCAGAGCACAGCATGAGAACTAAAGGAAGATAAAACTGTCACCCACAAGAAACAGAACAGTTCCAACTAATATCATTAATCAGGATTAATGGTGATAGATGTATCTGTTTAGACCCAGATCTGCCCTAATCAACTATAAAAAGTGGTGGGGTTCACATGAGAATTTTGAGTAAGAAGTACTGAACTCTTCCTGTATCAACTACTTACTCATAGCTTTACCCCCCCCACCCCAGCACTTTTCTCCCAGCTGAGCTTACTTTTGCTATCCAAGGAGAGTTGAGACAAGATGCACCAGAGGAAAACAACCATGGAGAGACAAGCACATTCCTTGCCCCAACATCCCACTTTTGCCTTAAGAAAAAAGAAAGATTCCCCACACCATCCACTGCTTCATTCACAGATGAGGCAGATCTGGGTTTACAACAGGCCTGCACCCACTCTCATCACCTGGACTTTGAGCTTCAGATAAACTCACACCACCTGATGACTAACCTCAAACAGCAGAACAGGAGCCATCACAGGTAATGTAGATCATAAGCAGAGAGTGAGTGGCCTTCCATATCTCATATCAATTCAGACTTCACTTTTCAAATGCACTAAGCTAGGAATCGTCAACCGATGTGGCAACACGTAGTGAGAAGCCAGAGATGGCAATGGTGAGATAGACATCATATAAATAAATAAATATCAATCTGAATCAGTCCTGAAGAAAGCAAAACAAGGTGGAGCTCTCTGTATTCTTACAGGTAAGGATTTTGGCACTAAGGTAATCTAACATGAGTGCAAACAAACCAGGATAAGCCAGACTTCTCCAGATGTCTGGAATGTCAACTCCCAGAAAGCACTAACAGCATGGGAAACAGGAATGCTGGGGGGTGAAGTCCAAAACATCTGGAGATATGCATTTTTATTATTCTTACATTACATTTATACCCCACCTT